GCAGGAATATTTATTTATTAAAGATTTTAAAATAAAAATATTATTTTATGTATATGTAATTACATGTTTATGTAAGTATACATATATGCATTACTCTCCTAAATCTTTGTAGCAAAACCTTGAGAAGAATTCAGGATCCAGCCCAATTACAGGTTTCCTGATTAAACTGACCACAAAGAGATCCTTGCTTGCTTTGGGCTTTTTTTTGCTTTCCTCTGGTGTATATTTCTTAGCAATAAATGGAATAGATTATTTCCCCACCCCCTCCACCTCCCACCCATGGAAATTTCTGAGTTACCACAGAGAGAGAAAAATGAGTACTGCATTAACTATTGTCTAATGATGTCATGTGGGTTTACAATCCACACGCCTCATTTTCCAATTCTCCCTGTCAGATCAAAAGTGAAGGTAGTTACACTGGGTGTATAACATAGTGACACTGATACAAACCTGGAAACCACACCCTTCCAGACTTTGTCTTGCATGTATCATTTGGGTTTTTTTCAAACTGCATCCGCTGTTTATGGTTTTATAAGCTCTAGGGGTTCAAATTCCCCAGTGTTGCCTTATCAGCTCTGTGATACCAAATGGACAGTGAAGCCAGCATGCTCATATCTAATTGTCTGAGTGAGGGCAAAACATACTGTGCACACTGTGTTGCTAAAAGCCTTTTCCCTCTAGGAGGCAAGAGGACTCTAATATCATACCCTGCTGATGACTTGTATTTAGGAAGAGTAATTCCCTCTCCCATCTGCTCATGGGGATCCCATTCTTCTTTCTTACTTAAAAGCAGCCTTCCTTTCTGAAAGCATGAAGTGTAGGACAGTTCTGGGTTTGCAGCATCTTGACTAAGAGATACCTTCACTGCCTTTGTTCACAAACATCTTCTTTAAGAAAAGAGAAAATTCTGTCCTGGCACAGCAATATAGCTTTAAAATAAATAGAGACACATGCCAATTTATCTCACCACTTGTGTTTCTAACATTTAGATAATTGCAATGAAAGATGGTAACATCCAGAGAGAAGGAACACTCAAGGACATTCAGAAATCCGAGACTGAGCTCTTTGAACACTGGAAGACATTAATGAATCGACAAGACCAGGAGCTGGAAAAGGTTTTTGATGGGCAGGGCAATCAATATTTGGGGGAAAAAAAGTGACACTTTGTTTCTTAGGTTGAAAGCATCAGCAAGGACTGAGATGCTGTGTGATTTCTTAGTATGACTGTAGTACTACTATTACCATAATGATTTATCTATTAAGAGAAATTTCTTCATCTGGACATCTCATACTTCCTTGATACTTTTGCCTCAGATCAATTCTTGACAGTATACCCTATCAAAATATTCTTATCTGAGGAATATTAAATTGGGCCATTTCAGAAAAATGTTGCTGATGTGCAAGACTGACATATGCCTTAATTTACTCATTGCATTGGGCAGAAGTTCTTCAGATGTGCCTATATCAAGCTCTCTAAACCATTAACGCAGGAAGAATGAGGTATTAATCTTTGTTCTTATTAATTCAAGAATATCTGTCCAATTTAAGATTCCAAGAGGGTTGGGATTGACAAGCTGAAATTGATGTCAGATATCTAATTTATGTCCTGTGGTTACACAGAGATAGCAAATCAATCACAGCTGCTTGCTGTAAGATCCTCACTTTCTTTTTTCACTGATTTTCTGATTGGAAACAAACATTGTCACAGGTAGTAATTTTTTATTAATCCTTTGTTTGAGAACCTGTAAACTGTCCCTCTTTCAGGAGACTATTATTGAGAGAAAAACTGTTTTGGAAAGAACAAATCTCCGGAGGACTATGTATTCCCGAGAAGCTCTGTTGAAAGATGATGAAGAGGACGAAGGTAAAAGGGCACTCTTTGAGCCCAGTAGCAATACATTACTGTTCCACAGTTAAATTGTGTTAGAGTGAATTAACATAATTCAAATTGGCAAGAGAATACTCATAATTCAGATGGATCATGATTTGCAGGAGTGCTGTTTCCGTTGACTTTCTCTCTCAACTACAGTCATTTCAAACATTCAGAAGTCACAGCCACCTCAAAATGTTTTAAGATTTTTCTTAAACTTAAACATGATTTGACAATGACATGAATAATACTGATGAATTTATGCTAGGTGAGCTTCAAACCTGTGAGCAGCTAAGCACACTTGGTTAAGGTTTTACACAGGAAAAAACTGCCGTTCATTTTTATCATACCAGTACTTTGAAATTGCAAAAACACAGCTGGTGACATTGACCACTGTGTGCTAAGGTTTTTTGCATCTTTTTAGCATGCATTGCTAGTGCCATTAGCAGGTTAATACGTGCATGCCTGAGCAGGTAACTTCACCTGAAAGCCCCTCTTTGTCCCTCTGTGGTAAGACCCGTCCTGTAGCTGCAGTTAGCAGTAAGTCAGCACAGCTGTACTGTTTTCCTGCACCTTGCAGAAGAAGTAACAGAAAGTGATGATGAAGACAACCTGTCTTCGGTGCTGCATCAGAGAGCGAAGATGCCCTGGCGAGCCTGTGGCAAGTACCTCAGTGCAGCAGGGATCCTCCTCCTGCCACTGCTGGTCCTGTCCCAGCTGCTGAAGCACACGGTGATGGTGGCCATCGACTACTGCCTGGCGCGCTGGACCTCGGATGCCATTGCTGAGAATTCGGAGCTAGAGCTGAGGAACTGCTCTGGCTGCGAGGTATGCGGCACCCTGTGCACCCTGCCCTGGCCATGGAGCCAGTGGGGACCTCCCACTGCCCACCTCTGCTCCAGCACTTGCATGCAGTGTGCTCTACTTCTAGTGACAGAGCCACTCCAGAGTATATTGAAAGCTAATGGGCCTCTGGGTACACTGCACAATAAAACCAACAGTTAAGGGTTGTGCATCGTTGTTCTCCTTTGCTAGATTTGTGGTATTTTCATTATCTACCTCGTATGCCTAAATCTTGGTCTCTGAAGTAATTTTGATATCACAGTTTGGGCTTTTTTCCCGTGCTGTTGCATTCTCACAGTAAGGCAGGGCTTTCAGGTTTTCCAACATATAGGGAACACAGTTTTGGTTTCGGCTTGGGTTTGGGGTTTTTTTGTTTGTTTGTGGGTTTATTGGTGTTGGTTTGTTGGGTTTTTTTAATGACAAGCATACTTTTTTGGTTAATTTTTGTGTGAATTTCATGTGAAACTGGCTACTGTATTACCCAGCAGGGTAATCTGTATGTAAAAAGCAGTAGTAACGGGATGTTGTTAGAACAGGGATTGTTTCCTTTATGGGGGTTTAACGCCTACAAATCATCCACATTCATGTTTGGGAGATGCATGTATGATTTCACTGCAGTCACCTCTTCAGCTCTAAAAGATGCTTTATTGATGTTGGACTTCAATATGGAATTAATAACTAAGAATAAAAACTGTTCTATTCTAATGCTTTGAAGATGGATTTTTCCTTCAGATGACATTATCAAATATATCTTTTCAGAGTTTTTCATAGTATTCTATGATTTGAAATTTTTGATGAATCTCTTAGTTTCATGCAAACAGTCTTCTCTCCAAAGGGTAATACATTGTGATTTAAGGTGGTTGAAAATCATTGGCAGTTTAAGGAGTAAACGCTTTTCCCTCCCTAAATTACATTTTTTCAGTCCTGCTGTTTCGTTTTTACAAAAAAAAAAAAAATTTAAAGATAATTTACAGTGAATAATTTTGTTGTTCTATTTCCATTTCTTAGGTTTTCAACCACTCTCGATATTCAAAAGTTTTTAGCATTCTCTGCTGTCTTGGGATTGTACTATGCCTTGTCACATCAATAGCCGTGGAGTGGACTGGCTTGAAAGTCACCAAAAAGCTACACTCTTCTTTACTGAATAAAATTATTTTGGCTCCAATGAGGTATTCCTCTGATTTTAATACAAATTGTACTGTAGTCATTCTCTGTACCTTACACAGTCTTCTAAGATAGCCTTGTAAGCACAGTTTTTATTAAGAAGTGACTGAATCGCTTTTTTTTGAACTTATATGCCATTGAAAATCCCCAGTTATCAATTACTGAGCAGTTTTTGAAAATGCTACCCAGGTGGCTCATGTTCCTTGACTCTAGTCACTAGCCTCTCCTGCCTGACTGCAGCTTTAGAAATTTACTTCCTTGCATGCTTAATTTCTCTTTGCTGTTTTTAATTAGGGAGAAAACACAATTATTGATCACTAAGCTGTACAGTTCACTCATAGCGTGCATCACAGGCTGCATCACTGGAAATATTTGCTGTCAGGCAGCGGTTGTGAAAGCCCATGAGAGATAATGAGATAGGACAAGTGTCAGCACAAGCCTGATTAGATGCACAGAAAACATTAGAGGCCTTTGTTGTCCTGCTTAAGTTTTCTTTCTAATGAATGAAAGTTGTAGATTGATTCAAACTTGCAGCTGTTACTGAACATTAGGAAAAATACCTTCTTGTTTTTAAGGTAATTGTATTTGACCCTGAAGTCGGGGAGAAATAATATACATGGAAAACCTCAGATATTTTGTTTTTAAACTTTCTTATTTAGAATTAGACTTCAGGTTCAATATGACTTATGGAGCAATTCACAGTTACAGAGCAAAAATGAAATTTGTATTTTCTGTGTGCAAATGTAAAGGAATTATATATTATTCTTTATTGTATATTATTGTACTATTGTATATTATTCCAACAACTGTTCTTTATGCATATCTGTTCCCAGAAAAATGCAAGACTTGCAATTTAGCTTTGCATTTTTCATTAAATGAAAAGGCGTCAAATTGCATATCTGGAAAGATTTTTTTTAATGTAATCATGTGATTTGCATGGCTTAGGCAGCAGAGGGAGCTGAGGACATGCTCACTGCTGCCTTATGTTCAAGACAGCCATTTTATTGGCAAGCCATGGCTGCAGGGAAAACTTAGACATTTTACTGTGGTTGTCAGTTTCTTTGCTTGTGTCTGTAATAGAGCACCTAGCTTAAGGAAGACAGGAAAAAAAAATAAAACTATTCTAGTATCAGTATAGTAATCTTACCCATTCTTTGTCTCATTTTAGGTTTTTTGAAACAACACCTCTGGGAAGTATATTGAACAGATTTTCAGCTGACTGCAATACCATCGACCAGGTACTGAATAAATATATTCAAGTTGCCAAGTTATCCTATCTTTCATTTAAATGAAGTTACTGATGATCTATAATTTTGGCTACTATATCAATTTGTATCATGATTTTCTAGATTCAGAATTAATTCCTCATCTTAAATGCATATTGAAAAAAACATTGTATTAAGGTGTCCTCTATGGAAAAGGGAAGTGTAATTAGACAACAGTAATATCCACAAATTAAGAGGTTCTACTTTTTTGTTTTTAAATGGGTAAACACATTAACACATAAGCAAACAAAATGACAAAGAGGCAAATGCTGTTGGCCAAAACAGAAATTACTGAAATTCAGATTATTAGTATTGACCCCAGACTGCGCTGCCAGTTCATAGGATCAATGCAGACACTGAATGAAATCATCTATTGCTGACATAAGGACCGTGTTCCACAGTGCAGATGTGTGAAGCAGCCCTGCAGAAATCCATTCAGACTTCCCCAAAACCCAGCAATCAATTCAAAAGTAGACTCATGTGTTTAGTGCTTCAAATCCCCAAAATTATATTCTTTGGATAAGTGGGAGAAAGGAAAATGAAATAATGCTGGTTTAAACTTGATAGATCATGGAAATTGTGTGCTTATTCTTCTCTGTACAGCACATTCCAGCTACCCTGGAGTGCCTGAGTCGCTCCACTTTGCTGTGTGTCTCTGCCCTCGCTGTCATCTCGTACGTCACACCCATGTTCCTCATCGCCCTGGTTCCCCTCGCCATCATGTGTTACTTCATCCAGAAGTACTTCCGAGTCGCATCACGGTGAGAGCATAAACCAGTTCTTGTTCTGGCAATAGAAACATCCTCTGCAATGCCTGACTGAACTGCAGAATTGCAGTGCTGGGGAACTTCATGTTTAAATTCAGTTTTGTCACAGCCACAGCCCTCTGTGAAAGCAGCCAGATCCACTGTAGTGAAAATGTCATTTTACAAGTGCCATTGTCTGCAGCTTTTCAGGCAGAAATTCATGGAGGCATGAGTAGAGTCTTTGTCCCTGTTCAAAGTTTCTTAGAGCTCACAGGACACAAAAAACAAACCGTATTCTTTCCTACCCAAAGGCAGCATCTGGTGACAGAATGGGAAAACTGATGTCTGCCTACCCAGGTGGAAGTGAAAATCTGTAGAGAGGCTGGAGAATGCAGTGTAACTAACCATGGCAGTGTAACTAACCACTGCTGCCCATTAAGGATCCAATGTGCATGAGCATCCTCTCTTGCTCTGGGTGCCTTCAAATTTTATGACAAGTTGAAGACTTTTAGCCATATCTGTGATTTTTCTCCTTCCAAGGTCATACAACTCCTGTCCTGGTGGCACTCAAGATGCGTTTGCAGCAATGCTGCATTTGTCCCCTCACCTATGCATGGATCGAGAGGGAGTCTGTAACCCCCTGACTCCCTGCTGGAAGGAACTGAGACTAAGCAGAATCTCACCCCATAAGTGCTTCCACTGATTTCACGACTAAACATGAAATTGAGAAGCACAAGCTCACGATGAGAGCAGGCTGCTGTCTGCAGAGTGTATGAGCTGTACTGTAGCTCCATGACAAGTTGTGCTGGCAGTGGGGGTTGGAGAGCAGAGCGAGAGGAAGCTGCCTTTTGCCTTCTGCTTAACTCAAGCTGTTATTTGCAATATCCCATTCAATTTTTATTCAGCACAGATCCAGAATGGTGTTTAAATGAATAAACAACTGAGTAGAAGAAATAGCAGTAGGGGTGAAATGAGAGAACGCACTGAAGGGAAAAGACCCATTCAGAACTCTAGCACTGTTTGTATTCAGTTTTTAAAAGAAGAATCTTCCTGGGTTCTTCATTCCCTGCTCAGAGACCAGCAATGCTGCCTTGCAGTCTGTCTGAACATCACAGAGTAACTGTTATTCACTTTCACTCCCCGGGCCTGTTTCAAAATACAACAAAACTGGTTTTTTACAAAATTCTTCTCATTACCCTCTCCAGGGACCTGCAGCAGCTGGATGACAGCACTCAGCTACCATTGCTCTCCCATTTTTCAGAGACTGTCGAAGGTCTTACTACCATCCGAGCCTTCAGGTATAGTTTTTTTAAGAAACATACATTACCTCACTTGGGAATATCTATCTCAGATTCCTGTTCTGCAATTGTGAAGTTATAAGTATAGTTGTTTGGATCACTTGGAAAATCCAGAGCCCCCAAAATACTGGTAAGGGAGAACTCCAAAACACTGAAGTACTTTAAGCCTTTTGCATGTGAAGGGGTTACTGTAGAAAAACAAGCTACTAAGTGTCATCTGCCCTGCAGTAATTCTCTATGTACTTGCACGCAGCCTGATAAAAACCGCTTGTGGACAAATGTGATTTAAGAAGCTAAATTAGCTGGCAATTAGCACAGCGTGCGGTGTGGCAGACTGCGTGCTTGGAAGCGTCCCCAGACCAGCTAACATGCACTGACTGGTCATGGCTGAGCGACTGGTGTGAGAGCCCATGGCCTGGTCAGGGAAGCTGTGCACGTTAGTGACTTCAGAGGATGCAGCAGCACCCTAGGTTAGTTTACAGGTTGCTAGCTGAGAATGCGAGTGTTTATCCTGATCTTGAAAACAGACAAGCTGGAGACAGTCTTTCATGGCCTGTTTTGATTTGGTTTTCCATCCACACAAGCCACAGGACAGCCCAGGGATACTGAGGCCGTGCCCGGGTGGTGTGTCGGTGCTACAGGAGTGGCTCACGCTGGTACTAGCAGAGGCAGCAATAAAACCCTGCTGTGCATACCAGCTGCTCTGCCCTCACTAGTGCTGTTCTTGGCTTTTCCCAGGAGACTCAAATGTGATCAACTGTCTTCCAAACCCATCTCATCTAGAAGTCTGCACATTTTGTCCTTTAATTACTACTGTTACAAATCTATTTTTGAAATGGTAGTGTTTATTCCTCTTAACACAGGATTTTAATTTTATAATGGAAGTAATACGCAAAGTTAACTTTCCTTAAACAATTCTAAAGAGGACATGAATACCTCAATGAAAGAACAACCATTTTAAGTTTGTTTCTTTTTGACTGACAATAGATCCATGAGGAGCAGTAGAACAACATAGTGTTTCCATTATTAGTTATTGTTATTGAATATTTAATTTGTTAAGTGCCAACAGTGTTGTCTAGTTTGGAGCTATGTCAATGTTCAGTTTAAAAGAAATCAATTTCTCTTTTAATTGTTGCTTTGCTCTGCCATATATTCTTCTACTTCATCAAGAAGATCTTTAGAGTATTATGGCTGTATATTTTCAGGTGTTGATACAATAAATGCTATACTAGATGTTATTTTCAGTCTTTTGGAGCATTCCCTCTTGATTTTTCCTATCACCTTGAAATGAATTCCTCTGTCGAAGGACTGTGTTTGGTGCCTCCTCTTTGTGAAATGCTGCAGCACTTGATGTGTCTCTGACCCAAGAGCTGTGTGTGCTCATGAAGTTCTGTGCTCAGTCTGCCTGCCAGCCTCCTGCATCAGCTGGTAACCTAGCTATTTATAGGAGTGTGTAGCTTTTCAGCTGCCTAACATACTAGCAGGAGTGGAGTTTAGGCTTGCTAGCCTGAGCATCCCTAAAAATAACACTAATTCAGAATTCCAGTCATTAAGTTAGGAGGTGCCAGTGATTCCTGGAGTGACCCTGCCCTTGGTACCTCTCTGTCCTGCACTTACTCAGAATGCAGAAGGAAAGAAATGTAAAAGAAATCCAAGGAAAGGTCAGAAAGACAGCTACTGCTGCAGCTATAAATACACCTTCAGCAGATGCCCTGGCCTCATTTATAGTTTGCTGTCTGGCACCTCAGAAATTGATTGTTTAGCACCAACACTACGATGTAGATGTGAAGGCTTCTGCAGAGACTCTGTATTCTCACAGGCCTGGCAATCTGGGGACACTTTCTGAAGAGGAATTTGATATTTCTGCAGTACCCCACCAACAGTGCTAACTGTGTCCCCATTCCAGGTGCATATGCGTGACTGACTCGTGATGCATACCTCACATCTTTTAAGGCGTATCTGTGTCACCCAGTCCCTCAGGGTACAGAGCCACAGAAGTTCAGTGTGACGGAATTGGTTCCAGCACAACACGGCACAGCCACCTCTGTGCAGTGGGGCACTGAGAAGGGCAGGGCTCACTGGCACCGTGTGGCACTAAAGCTGGCTCTCAGGACACTGCTCTGAGCCGTGCAGACACGCAGCACGCTCGGAGCCAGCCCAGGCCCTTCCCCGTGGCACACAGCAGACATGTCTCGTGTGTCTCAGCACGTTGGCTAAGCTGTGAACAGCTAAGTTATTTCCACCAAGTGGCACTTGTTTCTTATCCTCAAATCATAAATGATTCATGTAGAGTTGTAAACTTAATCCTTACTCCGAGTATAATATAATAAGATACTCTGCAGTAAGTATATTTGAAAGCTCCTCAAAACTATGTGCTTCATACTTAAACAAAATATTGTCACATCTTTCTCTCATATGAGGATAAGGAGAGCTGAGTTTATAACTGAGTAGTGCTTGTTATATATGCAGCCATTATAGCTAAGGATATAAGTAGGGCAAAGATTTACAGGGGGAGATTAGCAAGTTTTATTAAACTTGCTAGTGTGGTAAAGGGGGAGAAAAAGGCAAGCTTGGGGTGCTTGAACTTCATCTTCAAGCCTTCAAGCTTCTGTTGCTGCCCCGGGCAAGCTTTTGTGCCAAAATTCAGTTTTATTATTAGACATAATTGTTGATATACTTTATAATTAATATCACAGTGCTTTACACCTATGCAAGTAAATAAGCCCAAGGTGATTTGATGACTTGCATGCTTGTCAAGACCTCAGTCTACATGTAGCCCTTCTTCCATATCTGCTAAAGTCAAGGCAGAACTCATTGATGCAGCTGTTCTGATGGGTGGGTGCAGGCCCTCTATAATAAACAGACCTATATGCCATTAATCTTATTTTGTATTCTGTGGCTAATTTATTTAAGGGGGCAAACAGTTCTTTCCTATCTGTTACTTACTGTTGCACAATGTGCTTGGACTTTTGTTTTCCAAAGTGCTCCATTTGTTTAGGGGTAGGAACAAATATGTTTGTCTAACACTGGAGCTACCACAACTGAAAGTCCTTAGAACTGATACTTCATAAATGGTTACAATTTCTGGGCACTGCAGTAATATATATTGTAAAACTTGAGCCTGTATGATTAAGTGAGGGGAGGAACCGCATTCTGCTGCATTAATACTTCTTTTCACAAGTATATGCCTGTATTATTTCTATCTCATATTTTAATTTTTTTTTTTTTTTTTTTAGTTTCAGATTTGTCTCTCTTAGTGTTATCAGGTAATAAAATACATTTAGAAAATGCCCAGTGTGATCCAGAAGCTTCATATAAAGATTCATCAATGCAGTAACATCCACTTACCCCCAAAGATACTTTACAAATACAGTTTGCATATGTCTAATCCAAATCTACAGATGATGTCACTCTGAATTACTGATAGGCTGACCCATGGTCAAGCTGCCCATGAGCATATATCTCCAGAAATTGAATTTTGGGTTTCATTTTTTCAAAAATCACAGGCCTAACTCTTTTTTCATTTTTCTTCTTTGTTGGTTTTTTGGTTTGTTTTGGTTCTCAGGTATGAAGCCAAATTTCGACAGAAACTTCTTGAATACACAGACTCCAACAACATCGCGTCCCTGTTCCTCACGGCTGCCAACCGCTGGCTGGAAGTGCGCATGGCGAGTACACGTTTTGTGTGTGCACCATGAATCTGCTTGACTTCATTCCACGCAATCTGATAGGCTCAATTCAGTGTCCAGCTTTACCCTTTGTAAATGAACCTAGCAAAAGCCTGTTGTGGGTGGACACAGTCCAACTAACAGATACATGCTGTGCAAGAGCAGCTTATTTGAACAAGTCTGGTTGTAGCCACTTTGGAGGAACAGCAGTGCCTCCCAGCAGCTCAGTCAGCCCCGGAGAGGATCTGCTCACAGACACAGTCACATGAGCATTTCCCTCCTGCCCCAGGTGACATCGGCTGCAGAGTTTCAGCAACCTCTTTACATGCTGAAGATACCTGTGTTGCCTTCCCTGGAAGATTAGGAGTGTTGGTACAACTACTCCAGTGTGCAGCAGTGTTTCCACACGGCGCAGTCACACTAAAGGCAATGAGAATGGGTTCCTAGGCAGGATCTGTATGGAGGTTGTGTTTTCTGCCTGTTTCAAACTGTGCAATAGGTTTGTTATTTGGTGTGCAAAGTTATGAGAACGATTTAGTCCTTTGATGGTGATGGAGCTTATTCATATTCCTTCAGGAGTACATTGGAGCGTGTGTGGTACTCATAGCAGCCGTCACTTCTATTACCAGTTGCCTGTATAGTAAGCTCTCATCAGGACTTGTAGGCTTGGGACTCACCTATGCTCTTATGGTAAGAATCTCAGGACTCCTTTTGTCTCTCCCAAATTTATTTTTTTTTTTTTAATAATTCTTCAGTGCATAAAGATAAACAGGAAGGTTGAAGGTGTCTGTACATCTATAGTGGGTACTGTAGCATCTCGAAAACCAAGTGTTAACTTCAGTTCACATTCAATGATTGACATATTTGACTGTATGCTTGCTTCAGTTTTTAGATAAAATATTCATTGAAGTGTTAGTTCAAATATCTCAACAAAACATGACAAGTTTCATCATATTTTTTTATATTGTCTTCCATTGTGAAGAATATCTTTTTCAGTGCATAAGTTATAATTACACCTTGGTACATCATTCTAGACTGTCAAACCTCAAGTTACTGAGATGATGTCTTTTCACCCAGCTTTACTGTTCCCCTCCCTCTTTCCTGTTGGTGTGGATCAGATCTCCATAGTACCAAAGCGTCTGTGCAGTGCAGTTAGGAAATTTAACCTTTAGTCATTGCTTTCAGCCTGTTTATCTGTACTATATAGTTCATTCACAACTTCAGCTTTTTAAGGCCGAACAAGAGTTACTGTGGAGGAATACATGCTGGTTAGTTTTGCAAACTGCTAAAAATCTGGAATTTAGTAGTGTATTTGCTTTACATCAGGTGTCTAACTATCTGAACTGGATGGTGCGTAACCTGGCTGACATGGAGATCCAGCTGGGTGCAGTGAAGAGGATCAATGGCCTTCTCAAAACGGAAGCTGAAAATTACGAAGGGCTCCTTTGTAAGTGTAGTTCTGTGCAGCATGCAGAAAAAGCTTGCTGAATTTTTAATGATTTTGCCATGTATTTCCATGTAAAACACAGTAACTTACTTAGTGAGATGATTACTTCATTATAGGAGGGTTGATTTTATTTTTTTTTCTCCTGTGCTCCTTGTACAGCTTCCTCACAGATTCCCCAGAACTGGCCAGACAGAGGGGAGATCCAAATCCAGAACCTCAGTGTCCGATACGACAGCAACTTGAAGCCAGTGCTAAAGCATGTCAATGCCCACATCTCTCCAGGACAAAAGGTAGAGAACTGCAGTGGTTCTAAGAGGTGCTTTAGAGTAGCGTATCGTAGAAATCACAAGGTTGTAAAAGCATACCACAATATGGTTTGATGACTGAACTACATCATTTTTTTCTGTAAAAGAATGTGGTGTGCTGGAAAAGGAGCCTGTGGGTTTCATAGTTCAGTCTGTTACACATGCATTAGAGTGGGAGTTCAGAACTACACACCACTTCTCAGTATCCCGTGCCCTGCTGGCAGCACACAGAGCCAAAAGAAGTGACAGTGACCTCTTACTGTGTTAGACCTACTTTCCATATTCCCATGTGGCTCTCCTGCCTTTGTTACCATCGTTTCTCTTCTGCTTCCTTGCATCTCTTTTCTCTCTGCTATTTTTTCCTCCTTAGTCCTGCCTTCTTTTGTCTGTCCTGCTAAACAAGGCTGCCTCAGGATCCTAAGTTTTGCCTGCAGCACTTACTAGTCCTCCTTCTGCTCCTCTGTGTTGCTCTCCTATTGTTCCCATACATAGGACTGGCCTTGATTTACCCCTAAATGCTCAGGCCCCTGAAGACAGAATGAGCTTAGGGACTCTGTTATGGCCAGTGCAGTTTGACTGAACTGTCAGGAGGACGTGCTGGGTCAGAATACCTCCTCCATCTGCTCACTTAAGTGTCAAACACAGACACTATCCAACCCCCTCACCCGAGTTCATCTGCTTTCTGTGTCAGATTGGGATCTGCGGCCGAACAGGCAGTGGAAAATCCTCCTTCTCTCTTGCATTTTTCAGAATGGTTGACACTTTTGAAGGTAAGATTACACTTTTTCATATCAGCCAAGCACAGCTCCTGCAGGTGCTTTGATAGGCCTTCCCTTAACAGCAGCAGCTCTGAGGTGTGATTTTTGAATCTGCAGGATGCCCTCTCTGGCCTTGTTTAAAAACGATATCCTCTGTCACCTAACAGCTGTGCTGTTCATAAGCTGGACCAATATAAACTCTGACAGATGGAAAAGTCTTCTTGTGCTGTTCATTCATAACAGCAGGAACAAACCATGAAAGGGGAAGGTGTTAAAGTACAATGAAGGATCCATGCACAAGGCATGGATAGGACCTTCTGGGCCCAGAAGACTCAGCAGCTGGGGACTGCAGTTTGGCCTGCAGGCCTGGAATTTCCTGCAATGTCTCCTGCGACGTGTGCCATGTCCATGTACCTCATGGAGTGTCTTCCTGTGCACCTCACAAGATTTTAGCCTCAGTTTCCTAGCCACATTGCTCACAGGACTCTTAATGCAGACACCTGTACCTGGCAATAGACTTTCACAGTGTTCAGTAGTAATTTGGTTTTCTGAAACACTTGTTCCCCCTGGTAACTAGCTAGGAGTAACCTCTTCCCTTGTTGTTTGATGTTTATAGCTGTGGTCAAGCAGATAAACAGTGTGTCTGATCATAAAATATTACAGCTATACTTCATGTTACTGCCAGCTGAGGCTTAGTCTCAAGACCGTTGTGCTTTCTGCACTTGTTTTGTGAGTGAATGAGGGGGTGTGTGACTCAAGGCCTGTTCCTGCTGTGCTGTGTTACAAGCTGAAAGCGAGCCCTTTCTTTGCCAGCAGCTGTGTGGCACGATGAACCATCTAGCAGTTCATTTTCTTTTGAATAGGAAGGATCATCATCGATGGTATAGATATTGCTAAGATGCCCTTGCAGACGTTGAGATCCAGGCTGTCAATCATTCTCCAAGATCCTATTTTATTCAGCGGAACAATCCGGTAAGCATCAAGCATGAGCAATAAAAACCACACGAGGACTTATATGCCACTCTGTGTTATGATTGTGCCGTATAATGACTTACAGAATTGCTGATAACAAACTGTTCAATGGTGGTCTCCTCACTTGGAGTTGGAGGGTTGCTGCTTTCTGTCTGTGCTTTTTACCCACCCCTGCCAGACGGGACCTTCCCAGTGCCCGGGCCTGCTCAGCACGCTGCTACCCAGAGGCATCCCATGCTCTGGGAGAAGGGAGAGGCACCGTGTATTCCCCCAGGGTCAAGTGATCAGTTCAGCTCACTGATAACCATGCTGCACTTCTTAAAATCTTCTTTCTCTACATCTGTTTTTTCATTTCTCTGACTTAAAAAATGAAATGGAAAAAATGAGCTGTTCTTTCATCTGTGAGAACAAACACCATGTTTCTTTTCTTTCTTTTTTTTCCCCCCTCTTAGAGGGTGATGCAGTAGAAACGGGAACAAAAAGCTCCACAGTTTCAAAGAAATGTCCTTCCCTGTGTCTGTCCTTTCCCTTAGAAAGGCACAGTACCATCCTCAGTGCAGCATTACATCACCTGCAGTTACAGTTCCTAAATAAAAGTCATTACAGTTCACTGAAAGTGATACAAATGTGTGATTTTCTGACCCCACACTAATACAGATCCCAAGATTATATCCTGAACTTGTCTGAATAGAGCATAATTCATTCGTGTAAGAAGCTGAAGTGACTGTATACCTTTGGTTTATTATTAATTAACCTGTTAAAAATTTATTTAGGCCAGCATTGGTCATTCACAGCACAAACAGTAGGAGTAAAAAGTAAAAATGAAAATTGTTATGCACCATTGAATCTTTTATTTCTGATTTTCATTCTTTGTACTAATATGAGATTAACATTCATTTTTTAACAAAGACCAAAAATCCACCATCTCTCCTTTTAAGTCCAATGTCTCTGTTCTTTGCTGCAATATAAATACTAAACAGAACAATCAAGCTTCATACTGAATTTTGAAATGGAAGTCTTCGCTACACCTGAACAAATCTTGGACTTATGAACAGATGACTCTTACTTTAGCTTGCTGTAGCCCAGAAATGATAGCAACAAATGTGAATTTTAAATTATTGTATTCGCAGCTATTTTTCTTCGGAGCCTTTTCTAGTAGAAAATCATGATTTCTTTATTTTATTTTGAATAAAATAAATTCTAAAACCACAAAGGTATCTGCAAAACAGAAAAATTTTCTCATTCTGCTCAACTGAGTCAAATTTTGATCTTAATCACATTGGCATAGATGTTGACCAAGTCTCCAAAATTCAGTGGATTTATATCAATGGTAGATCAGAATCAAGCACAGATTTTTATCATATGATTCTGATTATTTGCAAGCTTGCTTCTAAGCACACTAAGAGAGGGAAAACATTACAGAAGTTTATATTGACTGATATTCTTTGACTTCTCCTAACTGTAGGTTTAACTTGGACCCTGAGAAGAAGTGCACAGACAGCATGCTGTGGGAAGCGTTGGAAATAGCACAGCTCAAGCACGTGGTGAAAGCTCTCCCTGGGGGCCTAGGTAACAACACTTCCTCCTGGAGAAGATCACTCCCCATGCTTACAATGCTCCTGTCTCACACTGACTTATTTAAAAAATAGTTGCTGAAGCAAAAGCTTTTTAGGTTTATGGAAGGTGACAAAAAGTGATTGCCTGCAGGGGAAGGTCCCATATCCATACAACTCCCTTAGCAACTGCACCTGTGGGGCAGAATCCTGTTTCTATTCAAATCAACGGGAAATTTATTTTATTTCAGATTTTTATTATTTATTGTTATGAAGCATTGAAGTTTACAGATCTTGTGAATTCAAATAATCTGCCAACAAGTCAAGTGTTAGCTAGTGTTTTTTGTATTTTCCAATGTTCATGTCCAGGGAGGAAGATTTCAGATGCTTAAATGTGTGAATCATTTGGCCATGAAAAACAAACAAACAAACAAAACAAAACAAAAAAGCAACCAAACAAAACTCCTAAACCCCTTAAAAATGCTAAGTTACACAGCCTTAGGGCAAACAAATGATGGATGGCACTTTGAGAAGGGGATGCAGTATCCAAAGTTGCATGTGTTCCAGAGAAACTCGCTCCTGGATGTCCTTAGCTACTTTGGTGCCCAATAGATGTAAAGAATGTCATGAAACAGGAGCACTGGTTGTTTTGAACAATGGGGATAAGTGGGCAAAGTTGGGTCACCAGCACCTGTGGACCTAGGAAGTGTTACTTTGAAAATCTTTACACTGGAAGTGAGATATTATATTCCAAGCATATTCTCTGCTCTGAGCTGATGCTCTCATACACATGCACACCCCATAAACACTGTTTTTGCTCTGTCATTTCCAGATGCTATAGTTACAGAAGGGGGTGAGAACTTCAGCCAGGGCCAAAGACAGCTCTTCTGCCTGGCAAGGGCTTTCGTGCGGAAGACAAGCATCTTCATCATGGATGAAGCCACAGCATCTATTGACATGGCAACAGTGAGTTTGGAGTGTTTGATTTCTTGTTTTCCTTGAGCAGGAGACAGCTGCTGATATACAAAGCAAAAGGTGGCAAGCAATCCTATCCACTCTGTAATATGCTTACACCATATTTAGTGCAGGCGTGTTTGCAAGTCCAGGTAGCTTTGAGTCATTGCCAACTAAAGTAAAGAGCTTTAAAATCATTTTTCTAGGATTTTAGTAGTTGCTAGAGCACTGCTTGCATTAGGAAAGTGAGGCATGTTATTTTCATTGGCAGGTTAATTTCCTGAAGTTAACAAAGCTTTGGAGGGCCCCCTGGGGTGGTCAGTGAAGGACAGACTGGCAAGCAGATCTCACCAGCATAGTGGACAGGACCAGTCAGGAGGTTAGAAGGCTTGAAATCTGAGTCGAGGAAATAAACAGAGACACAGAAAATATACACTGGATTATGTCATTAATTGCCTGAAATGGCTATGCAGAGATTAAACCACACATAATAGTGCACTGACTGGATTTCAGCCAAATGGAACAGTGTGTGCTTAAGATTTGTTTTCCTCTGATAAGTTATGAGCAACATTTTAGTCTTCTTCATGATTATTCTATGAGGGAAGAACACAACTGGAGGGGCTTATTCTAACAGCTACAATTTTTAGCTTGGTAAAATGTTAGTGTGTTAGGTGTCAGTAAGGCTGGGAATTAGACTGCATGAAGCCCAGTTAAAACACATTTTGAATTCTGCCCCACTGAGAATATAGTTCCTCCCTGGAGATACATGCCTAAAGAGCAGATAACAGCAAAGAAGGGTATCTGACGTTCCTAGGCAGAGTTGGGTCCCCACCAACACGTTGCATGAATAGCAAAGGATGAGTACTTGTTGAGTGAAAACTATGTATGTTAAGACCATCTTAAATATCATCTCCATTGTTAAATATGCCAGGTACAGCACATTCCTTTGCTTATCTCTGCTACCCCCTGGGTGTTAGATATCCTAAGTGCTGGGACATTCCTGGACTTCCAGCAGGGTGAAGAACATGCTGCAGAGGTGCCAGCATGAGGGCAGCCTGTCAGGACCCTGAATTCACCCTTGGTTTCCTCACTGTACAACTGAGGTTAGGATGGCAGGGGTTTGGGGGCCAGGGCACATCTCTCACGTGCACTGAAGCCCGGGGGCAGTGGGGGTGGCAGGAGCGAGCAGGGATGGCTGACTGGAGACCAGGCTCTTCCTTACTTCTGACATGGAGTTAACTTTTTATTTCTGCAGTGAAGGATCAGTAAAAGCAGGGAATAATCAGAGGTTACTTAATCCTTCTTAGTGTGTCTGTCATGTAAGTTCTGTAGCCTGAAAAGCAACCAATGTTTTTTCTGCACAGGAGAACATCCTGCAGAAGGTGGTCATGACTGCGTTCGCCGACCGCACTGTGGTCACAATAGCAGTAAGTACAGTCGCTGCTGCTGTTCTAAAGCAGGCAAGAACCAGAAGTGCCATGCTGCTCACTGCTTGTCAGCATTAATGAGAGTGTTCATTTGGCCATTCATCTTTTTTTTATTTTTTCTGAAGGGGTGTTTCAGTGTAAGCTTTCTTGCCCATTTTAAACTATTTTCTTATTTAAATATATAACAGCTTCTTAAATGTGTTGTGTGATGCCAAGTCTGGCTGCCTGCAAAGGTATGTCCTCTAGCTATGAACTCTATTTTCTGTTACCCATTGTAGGTTAATTTAAAATACAGTGTGACTTTGACTACTGTGAAATTTAAGAATAAGTTTCATCAAGCCACAACAATCATTTAACTAAGGACAAATAAAACTGTGTAATAGTTCTGCCACTGGATAGAGCCATTACGTTTCAGAATTTAAACAAATTAGAATCTTAACTAACTTTAAAATAGATATTCCATCCCTTTTGACAGCGATTGAATTTGTTTGCATATTCTTGAAGTGACTATGCAAAGATCACAAGTATCTATAAAAAATTTATTTATGAAAAAGATTTGACCTGAATCAAAGCAGCTGGCTCAACAGATGTGTCAGAATACATATCTTTCAGTCCTCTGTTTTCTAAAAACCCACCTATTTCAGGGAGGTGAAATAAAGTCATTCAGTTTCTCAACATTTAAAAATTAAATACAAGTCAAGAAATGTATGCTCAGGAATCTTACAGCATCTTTTTATTTTGACCTAGCAAATGTGTGATAGAAAACCTGATCTACCTTATGGTATCCATTCAATATGTCATTGTACAAAAGCAAAGGGTCATAAGCTTGCAATTTCCTGATTTCTCTGCATGAAAATTCCAAGGTGCACTTCATTTTGCATTCACATGTCTTTTTCAGTTTGTTTGGGAATAGGGTGAGAAAGTTCTTTAGTCTTCCACAGTGGGTTTTAAAGTGGACAATTCAAACAAATAGCATTTTGGAATAAATTTACTCTAGTTTTACTTCCAAATGTGAATGTGTTTTACAGCAGGTGGGTCTGCATTCAGAACACACTGTAGTAGAAACATAATGTGGGGGAGGTTAGGTAGTGGTTTGGTTGGTTTTTGTTTTTTTTTTTTTGGAGCAGGCCATATAGTCCTAATTTCTTCTTAGGAAGAATAGGAATGGGAAGAGTATAGTCCTGGGGCTGTATTATCATCTGTGTTACTTTAACCAGGATGGCAGCACTGGTTGTGTTACACTGAAAATGGTCAGACAAAACAGGCAGCAAGTACAACTGGACTGATATTTCAGTCCCCTGCCCCTGCCTGTGGGCTGGATGAATGTCACAGGAGGACTGCAGGGGAGATGAGATTTGTAGAAGCCATCAGTGATGATTTTATGGAACATCTGGCTAGGAAGCCACAGAGGAAATACAAGAGTTGTTTTGGTACTGAGGGTGCTCAAGATCTGATTAGGAACCTTAGGGGTGAAGAGTGACTGTGTAACAGGGAGCACAGCATGCTGAGATTAAATTTCACTGCAGGAGTAATGCAGACCCAAAAAATCCAATGCAGTTACACTCAAATTTAAAAAGTGAAATTCTCTAACAATAAAGAGGCTTGTTATAAGGAAAACCCAAAAATAAGGGGGGAGGGGCATAAGGGAAATGAAGGAAATTGGATCTGACAGGGATCACGGAAATTATTGAAGGATTTTATTTAAAAAAGTCTCAGAGCAAATGTAATTTATTAGGAAAGGCTTGAGTAAGTATAGAAAGAAGCTGGTATAGTTAAACAAATAAAAAAGACTACTAGAAGCCAGAAGGCACAAATAGCCTTAATCAAACTTGAACTTGTCATAAAAATTAATTTCTGGGCATTTTGTTTTTCAGCACCGCGTGCACACGATCCTCAATGCAGATTTGGTTATTGTAATGAAGAGAGGGGTTATTCTGGAGTATGACAAGCCTGAGGTTCTGCTAGAACAAGAAGACAGTGTCTTTGCTTCTTTTGTACAAGCAGATAAGTAATAAAAAAACCCGAAGCATTTTAAAGGACAATTGTACTATTTTATAAAAGTGTAAAATACCTGTAAATAAATACTATTTCATAATAATGGAGGATTTCCTTTTTTAATAAAATGAGCCAATTTTCTCCATCTGATGCATTAATGAATTATACATGTACTTTCTTTTTTTTTTTTTTTTTTGTATACTACTACTCTTTTTATTTGCTACCAAAGAATCATGAGATATAGTTGAAAAAACCAACATGGGTGAAATATGACAGGACACATGTCAAACATAGCCAGCATGGAGATCTATGAAACTCTTAAACCTCTCCTGTCATTTTATTAACAGGTTATTTTTTATGTCATAGCCCCTCTGTAGGTAGTGCTCATGACTGACTAAGTGCAGAATGAAAAATTCTATACCAAAGGTATTTCTCAAAAGCTTGTATCTCTTTTAATCATATGACTCTGTAAAGCTTTAATATCTAAATATAAAATCTTTAAAACTTTTTTATATTGTGGTTTATTGGCAGTGCCTGTGTCTCGTGGTCTCTCCTTTAATGCCTTTCAGAAATGTATCACCAGCTGATTTCTTTAGTCTTTCTTAGGCCACCTCTACACCCATTGAATCCCACTGCACCAGTTCCAAACGGGACTGAGCCAGACTCCCTCCCTGACTGAGAGGCAGTGAAGAGGAGGCAGGCTGGGAGGAAGTACCAGTGTTTCATGTATGCTCTTTTCTGACCAGTACAGATGTACCAGTTCATCTGGAAAGTATCCCTCTAAATCTGGTAAATGAACAGGATTAAACCTTTCCTTGTAGCTCAGAGCCATGAGAGCTTGACTCACTGTTTCCTAGTTTCACATATTTCGCCCACCCTTGTGCTGTTTCTAGATTCACTGTGATCTTTACCAATAAAGCATGTTATACTCACTAAGTTAACTTGTAACTACAAAATTATCCTAATTTGGCTGAACTTACCTCTGTTGCATTGATTCATTGGGACAATCATTTCAGGACTTAATAATCACTCAGGGGTTAGAAAGTCAATGACCCAAGGGGAGGCTACAATGATTTTTTCACCATTATTCTTTTTGTAGCAGCTTTGAATTTACATCCATTTTTGTCCTATTCCCCTTAAGAATTCCTAGCACTTGGGAAAACTCTCCATTTTAATCTCTTTAGCCTGTTCAATTTATTTGGAATCTGTTTTTTAAAGGCTTTGTTTTCCAGAAAAAGACATCTCGGTGTTCTCATAGCATACATGATATTTTCAGGGTATTACTTCAAGCGCTGCAGCAGAGCGCAATTCTTCCTTAGCATGTTTTATCTGGTCCTGTTTCCATGGGGCCAAGTCCCAGTGAACGGGCACCAGAAGCAGTATCCAAGAAATGCTTCTGCCGCGGGCGGCCCCTGCTGCTTACCCGGGTCAGCACACCCCTCGCCTGGAGCTGCGCGGGCCGGAGGTGGGCGCTGCCCCCGGCTCGCCGCCCTGCTCTGTGCG